TCTTAACACCGATAAGATTGATAAATTCCGCTCAGTAAAAAAGTCGCACTATCTTTTTGTGACCTACACTGATAAGTCCGTTTATTTTAAAAGGAAAATAACACTACACTCAGAGAACTACGTTGATTAAAAGTAAGAGAAATATAACCGACCCCTAGAATTAAACTTTTTTCACTGTAGCTATCCCGAGTACTTACTCTAAACCGAGGGTAGGTTTCACGTGGAGTTTCCCCCACGTAAAAGATTGGGAAACTGGCGCCCGAGACAAAACCGCACAAAAAGATTTAACCCGGAGTACGTTTCTGTGACGTCACTCACCACCGCCGGCTGCCAACCACCGCTGCCGATAAACTAGTAGTCGAGGGTCGTCACAAAATTAGGCGTCCAAATAGGGACGTCAGTGACGACAATAAATCTAGAAAATTAGAATTCGAAATTGTGAATTAAGATTCCGTTTAGAGTTGGTAGTATACCGGGGGCGGCCACAAGTAACGTCTGAACCGAACCGTCACCACCGTAAAATCAAAGCCAAGTAAATAAAAGTACGTTACAAAAATTTGGCGACAAAGCAAAGGGACGTTACAAGGTATTAAAATATCGATTTGAAATTTTCAGAATCGAGATTTTTTTCAACCTAGAAGATGATAAAATAATGGGAAAAAAAATTAACCAAAAAAAAATTCAAATTTTTACTGGCTATAAGTCGCACTATCGTCTTTAATACTGTGAAGGTCATTTGTCTCGAAAGCTCTTTTTTATTTTTAAGCCAAACAGAAGGGGATGCTATCTCTGTAAACAACAATCTGAAAAAATTAGTTAAAATAATACAGTTATAAAGGCTATACTGTATACTCTGCATCGGACCGTGAACGTAATTGACCATTCCGATACTGTTTTTAAGAATATCATATTTATAACTGTATTATTTTAACATATTTTTTTTTCAAATTGTTGTTTACAGTTATTTGCTACCTGTCAGTTTTTTCTTTTTTTAAAGAATGCCATATTTACGGATAGCACTCCCTTCTGTTTTACTTAAAAATAAAAAAAGAAGACCTTTTGAGACAAATGACCTTTACAGTATTAAAGACAATAGTTCGACTTATCGTCAGTAAAAATTGGATTTTTTTTATCANGACTAACAGTATGGTTAAAATTGAGGTACTTTGGCATTTATTTAAATTATTCGTCTGTTCTCATGAGCATTGAAATTTATCTCATTCACTAGCGGGAACCATTGCGAATACATTGATATATAATATTCATTTATGTTAGTTTCTTCGATGATTTGTGTCCTCATCTGAAGCTCTGTTACACGGTAAAAATATACATACTAAATCGTCCCCTTAAATCTGACAAAAACTAAAGTATGCAGTTTTACGACTAGTAGGCTATGATGCCATGTGTCATTTTTGACGTTTACAAAGACTGCACATTATCACATACTATTCCATGATCTTAGAAAATGCCTCCAAAATTTTCATTTCGTGAAAGAGTTGACAAATAAGTTTCCAAAGGAAATTTAGTGTGAATGTATGGGTGTTACTGGAAATAATTTAATCGGTTCACATTTTTTATCTGATAATTTGAACGGAGCAGCCTATGCTGAATTTTTAACTAACAATTTGGCCCATTTACTAGAAGATGTACCTCTAGCAAGTAGAGGTATGATGATATTCTAACATGATGGATGTCTTGCACACTATTATCGACCAATAAGACAATTGTTAGACCAAACAGGTGGATAGTAAAGGAAGTCCTATACCATGGCTTGCTAGGAGCCCCGATCAAGGGTCGGCAACTGGCGGACCGCGGTCCAGATCCGGACCGCAAAAGGTAAAATACTGGACCGCCAAAAATTTTTTGAAAATATTAATTACTCAAATAAATTATTTAAAAAATATTTTTTTACGTTTGAGTGCCACCCTTATCATTTTTTCTAGTATTTTACAATTGTGACTGATTTGAGTTCTTAATGCAAATGAAAATAAAAAATTAATAAGAAATATGAATATTTTTCTGGACCTCATTAAAAAATTTCAAAAGTATCCGGACCCCACCTAAAATTACTTGCCGACCCCTGCTCTAGATTATTATGTAAGGAGCACACGAAGGATCTCGTGCATGAGACCAAAGTTACAACACGAGATCAATTAATACACAAAATACAAGAAGCGGCAATAACTGTTCGAAGCGAAATAAGGTAACGGGCTTGTGCCTGCATAACAAGTCAAGGCAGTCACTTCAAGAACCAAATTTATTTTACAAATTTATGGACTTTTCTCTCAATTTTTTATGAGAACTAGATTATGTGTCTCCCACTATAATTTTTGTGTAATTGCAGGAATTAAAAGAAAATTTCTGAAAACTTTATACATCATTCGAAAGATAATGAAGTTTTTAAAATAATTTGTACGTTTAATGTATTCACAAAATTTTTGAAATAAATCGTCGTGAATGTACAATTGTATTGAAGTTTCTAGTTTAGCTCCTATTAGCTCATATCAAAGTATTTAACATAATTTTGTTACATAACTTGAATTAGGTACTATGCGTATTAACAGTAGAAGAACAAAAAAGTGCAAAAAAGTTTTCTTTTTTAAATTTTACAATTAGTAGTATTAGATGGTACACTCCTAAGAAAACAGTAAAATTTAATTACCTCGAAAACTATCAACTTTTGGATAATGCATATTATGGTTCATTCACTGCAAATTGCTATTCATTTATTCAGTCACTGCAAATTGTCTCTACTAACACATCTTCAAATGAATACGTCGACTAACCAGTCACCCTGTATATAAGATAAACAAGATGTTTTTAAATATCATTAAACAGTAACAACAACTAGTAATGAAAATTATTTATTTTCTTCCGATAAATGACATTATCATGTACATCATTTGAAAAATCTGCATCCACAAAGTCAAGATCAGATATTAATATGATAAATTTACAGGTTTTTTATTAAAATATTTCAATATTTACTACCAATTTTGGCAATACGACCAAAATTTACTATGATACTAAATCTGTTAAAAAAACAAATATAATCTTACTAATTAGCCTTAATTAAATTATATTCTTTATATTCAATATTTAACTAAGGGAAATATCTTATCGGATCTTTAAAGTCATTTAACAAATTTTGCTGAGTTATTTTCTAATTTTGAGCAATTCAAATAAATTTAAAAAACTAAATAAGGATTCTGAACGTGTCAAGTTTACATTTGCCAAGTCAATAATTATTATGAGAATTACAAATTTAGATTCAAGACAATTTAGAATTTTAGATTAGAACCTGATGCTGAATGGAAAAGTAAAGATAAAAAATCACAGCCTACAATTTCTATATATGATGAAGATAATCTCAAATTATGCATAAATCTGCACAATTGATTGGCCAGTTACTACTAAGTTTAATGAGATTTGATGTGAATAAGTTGTCTATGCATTTGAGGCACTTTACTTACTGTTTTGCTCGCCAGTACTGACATTCATGGATAATTTTTTTGAGTGAGTCTTGTGATGTTTTGCCACGGTACTCGGGTGCGAGTGGGTTAGTCGGGAGAGTGTTCTCAGGCTAATTGGTGCCACAAGACACTCTGGGTGGGTGTTTTGTGAGTTTGCACCTAACATCCATTGCACACCTGGAATTGACACTGGGAGGGGTATCAAGAACAGTACGAAAATGCTTAAATTTGTTTATATGTTTAATATACAGAATAGTTTGGTGATAAGTAGTATCACAGTTGCTTATCGATTGTGCAGTAGATATATCACACCCTGTATATGTTTAATGTTAAATAGACACAGTCATATTTTCCAATAGAGGCGAAGGACATACTCACTAATCATTGATTCATTTATTAACTAGATAATAGGGTGCTCAGGTATGCTTTCCAATCATTTACAAGCATATATAGTGGCCAGTGACTGGCCACTCACTAAGAAAGAATCACCTCATCTCACCATCACAATAGCCAAGTCCTGACCTGCCCCGACAAGAGGCCATATTTGTCTGAGGTATTTACATTTTGCTTTAGTTACATATATATTTACGCCCGCAAGATAGATAACAAATATTTACATGTTTTCAACGTAATAATCGACAACCGATTTCTACCCTTCTTACCCTTTTCAACCCTTTATTTCTCCTTACGAAAAAACGCAAAGCTAAATAATAAATAATTAGGAATTTGTACTATGGTTGTGAAAAATAAAAAAACAAAGTTGGCCGATCAAATTGAAAATTGACAATGTCATAACTTTTAGTTCTCAATAACTTTCTGAAGTAAATATATTTTATATTTTTAAAAACAAAGATACTTTACTCTTGACAATTTTTGAAAATTAATCGTAAATACACCCTGTACATTAATTAATTTAATCAACTTTCTAGTTTAAAGCCAAGCCAGGTATGATGGCCAGAAGCTCAAATTTCAACTCGAATACAAAATATTTTCTGTCATTTACACCCCACGTGCGCTCAATCCGTGCACACTAATAGAAAACTTGAAGTTTTTTTTTCAATTAAAGAATCAAAGCAATTTGGAAAGTATAAATAGTCTGTTAGTCGACACGACAATACTAAGTAAAGGGTCAAATTGAAACAATGTCAAGTTGTAATCATGCTCAAGATCCTTTAAAATCTTATAACCAAGTATTAATATTGTTAGTCTAAAATTGAAACGTATGTTGCAACTAACTTTTTTTACCATTTGATAAAAAAAAGTCTAGAATATTGCTAACCGATACGTATCTCAATTTGCTTTAAATTATGAACAAATTATGAAAAATATGTTTATCAACCACGAAAAAAATATATTTTGATAGTAAAGAATACAGTTTATCAGAAATGGAATATTTGCCAAGTCTATCTATAGTTAGGGACTTCCCCTACGTCTCTACAATATATTTTACAAAACATAATTTGTAAGTAGTTCAGCAAAGTTGTAATATATAGAAAATATTAATATTGAAATCATTATTATAAATACCTTTCTTTTTGCCAGCCATTTTACAATAAAATTTCTACAATGGATTTCTTTTCCTCGAAACTACAAATGACAAATTCTAACTTAGCACCCGTCACCTGTCACTGGTCAGAATTAATCGCATAGATTAATCGTCACTAGCGATGGGAGATTTCGAGTGAAAAATCGAGTGTTACTCGATTATTGAGATCACTCGAGATATCTCGAGATGTTTACTCCCACCACTCGAGTGATTATTACCCTACGGTTGCACCCCAAAATGTTAGTGCATACTGCAAATAGTCACTGATTGCGTAACCTTTTTTTTAGAATAAAACGAAAAAGTGATTAGGTTTTGAAGTGCGTGAGCTTTTTTTTTTTAGCTACGCTTATAAGTAATATATGACTAATACAAACATATTTGTGTGCCGCTGGGATGAAAACGACCAATATCTCGTATCTCGAGTGATCACTCGATTATTAGAAGTACTCGATTACAGATAACTCGATTATCAAAATTGGTCGATTATGCCCATCACTAATCGTCACTACCAAGGCACAGCTTATTACAGCTGGAAGAGTTCGTGTCGGCGCCTTTGATGTAGCGGTCGAGAACCAAGCGAGACGGAATCGTGCTAACTCTCTCAGATAAAGCGGAATTGTCGGGCCTAATATTAAAATAATTTTTATTATTGAAATAAAATATTTACTTTCTACCTGGCAGTACCGTAATAGGTAATTTTAATAATATGAAATTTGAATTAGAATATTACGTGGTATGACATTAAAAGTAGAAAATAGGTATTTTAGATAGGTAATTTTAGGTTTTGTACTTGGAGTTAATACGGATTATTATAAGAAAACTTGAATAGTAATTAAAATTCCTTGTTGTAAGTTCCTGTTTACTGACGTAATCCTTAGAGAAGAAAATGGTTAAAATCGCGTTCTTTTCGAAAAAAAAATCGTTAATATCTTGAAAACGGTAGATTTTAGAGAAAAGTTGCATATGAACATTTTTGTTCAGGATACTCCAAAAAGCCTATAAAAATGTAATTCGAGCGAAAAAATAGAAAATTACGAATTTGTTTAATAAAAATTGTTTAAACAATGTTTGACCATTAGTAACGTCTGGCAACATGCGGATATGATTCAAGGGTAATTTTTTTAGTAAGATTAAGAAAAAAAATTCGAATGAGAATCATGTTCCTGGCGGGAGCAACGATACAGCCTGGACTAAAACTTATACATATTATAAAACATACCTACAATATAATATACAAAAAAATATAATAACATAATATATAGTATTAAAAATATAATCATTACAGATTTCTCCATTATTATAAGTTTATTTTTTGAATATTCCTAAAATTTTGGTTTATAGTTTATAACGTATAATAAATTCTAACCCTTAAATATAACTTAAGTACAAATTCTTTCGGAAAAGAATGACACGGATGACTAAAAGGTAGTCTTTTAATTAATTCAAGAAATATGCTACAAATGTTATTTTATGTGGATAATTGTTCAAAATTATCTTGAAATATCTTTTCAGTGTTACAAATGAGCTCAACAAAGTTAAGGTATCTTCATTTTCATTATTATATAAAATAAAAATAAATCAACAAAATTATACCCACGCCTATGATTGCAATTCTTACTACCCGTTGTCGTTATTCGTCTGAACGAACGCCAAAGCCGTCTTTACCGCTGGAAGGCGGAGCATAAACGCTGCGCGGCGGAATCTACGCTAACCGTTCCCGCCAAGACAGTTGGGGAGCTGTATAAGCTGTGACCAGGGTCCAGGGTCACTACGTCACTCTATACGAAGGGTCTTCCGCCCACAATCCAATATTTCTGGATCTGGGGCGAAGACAGAGATATGAAGGCACCTTCACGAGGAGGTTCACTGACTGGGAGCGTTTCCGAACAGTAATGCAAGGAAACATGGCGCTCCCAGTCATCGAAACCACCCATGATCTGGAGGCGGCAATCCTCTCCCTTGAGACTGACATTAAAAACGCCCTGACTCAGACTACGACGGAGACTATTGTCCCCCGACTGACAAACCCCCGGGGCACCCTCCCCGATGACATAAAAAACTTAATACGTGACAGACGACGTGCGAAACGGCTTGCCACCCGCACCCGCCTCCCCCGACACAGACATGACTTAAACGTACTTAACAGACGGGTGAAGGCGGCTCTGGATGAACTGGCCCAGGATAACTGGGCTAGGCACCTGGAGTCGCTGGATCCACAAGACAACAGCCTCTGGAAAACGCAGAGGGCCCTGCGACAGACCGCTCGCCGTAAAATTCCTCCAATCCACGGTAGTGTGGGGGTGGTTTACACGAACCAGGAAAAGGCCGAGGCTTTCGCCGATAGCCTGGAACTGCAGTGTAGACTGCCTCAGCTGCCCGACGAAGACGAGGAATTCGAGATAGTGGCTGAGCGCGCGGCCCGACGCGTCGACAGAGAGCCAGACAATGACATAATCCCCCCCGCAACACCTGACGAACTAAGACTGACAATACGCAGACTTAAAAACAGAAAAGCCCCCGGACCCGACAATATACATAACACGACACTTAAACGACTACCACACAAGGGCCTCATGGCCCTACTAAACATAACAAACGCGACACTCAGACTAAGACACTTCCCTACCCGCTGGAAAACAGCAAACATAATCCTTATCCCAAAACCCAACAAAGATCACACCATCCCATCCAACTACCGGCCCATTAGCCTGCTCCCGGCTATGAGCAAAGTGGTAGAAAAAATTATCCTAACCCGTCTAAGAACCCACTCCCAAGAACTGCAAGTCATTCCAGACGAGCAGTTCGCCTTCCGACCCAATCACTCCACTGAACTCCAAATCCTTCGCCTTACCGAGCACATCACGGCGGCCTTCAACAGGGGACAGTACACTGGTGCTGTCTTCCTGGACGTCGCAAAGGCCTTCGATACGGTTTGGCATGAAGGCCTACTGATGAAAATGCTCACCAACCAATATCCCATATCCTTTACCAAACTCATAAAATCCTACCTACACCACCGAAAATTCCGCATCCAAATCCAAGATTCCCTTTCCACCACCCGTCCCATGGAGGCCGGTGTCCCCCAGGGCACCGTCCTGTCCCCACACCTATACACCATTTACAACTCCGACATCCCACATCCCCCCAACACCAACATATACTTATACGCCGACGACCTGACAATCACATCCCAATCCGTAGATCCTAGATATTCCGTCTACCTCCTCCAAAGCTCCTTAGACCAACTTGAAACCTGGTGCAACAGGTGGAAAGTCAAAATTAATCCCAACAAAAGTTCGGCTATCCTTTTTACCAAACGAAAAATCCCACAAAACCTTGACAGACTGACACTATCCCAGGAACCCATCTCCTGGAATCGACAAACACGATACCTGGGCGTGACGATGGACCAGCGTCTCACGTGGAAACCGCACATCGTGGAGACGGTGGCGCGAGCGAAGACCACCAGGGCTAGGCTCTATCCCTTACTCAAAGGTGGAAACACCCTCAGTTTAAGGAATAAGCGAACGCTTATCAAGGTGGTACTTCAACCGCAGCTAACCTACGCCTCCACGGCGTGGGGTCACGCGGCAAAAAGCCACTTAAAGTCATTACAGGCTGTGGAAAACATAGCCCTCCGCACGGCCACCGACGCGCCCTGGTACGTAAGAAACACTGACATATTACGAGACTTACAATACACAAACGCTACACAGACAATAAGACAAAACGCGGAGAAACGATTTGACGTAGCCGCTAGACATGACAATCCCCTCCTCAGGCAAGCCGTTGACTACGTACCCGACGTGACCGACAAACACAAAAGACCTAGACACCAACTTTTTGACCCTGGGTGACCACCCCAATGACCCCCCCCCTGCCCGCTAACCTTTTCTGTTTCAGAGACAGCCAGGATCAAGAAACGAAGACAACGACACACACACACACACACACACACACCCCCATACCCTCCTTAACCCTCCCCTCCCGCGCTAGCCTAAGGGCCACCTTAGCAAAGCGCATCCCAGGCTGCATAGCCGCACTACCCTACCCAACCATACCACACATAAACATGACACTACCCCCGGGGTTTACACAGACGAGCCGGCGAAGCAAGAAGAGCGCCAGAAGAAAGGGCCCTAGCCGGCGGGGCCCAGCCAGGACAAAAGGAGGTCCCACAAAGCGCCTACACCGGCCGCATTTGCGGTCGGGGTAGACGACGGATGGGGCCCACCTACGAAGGCTGTCCAGGCCTACACGAGATGAGGCAGGATAAAGAGGGATAATCTCCCTCGACCCCAAATCATTGAGGCCAATTTCTAGCCATGGAATAATGGCGCGCTCGTTGCAATGCACTTTACCTCACAAACAAACACGTCCGCTCAGCTCGGCTGCTCGCTCTGAACTGAATATAAGTAACGAGTATGAGTATTCCATATAATGTTGATAAAGATATGGGTTTGGTTTTTAATAAAACTATACAGCTTAAAACTTACACATCGTATTCCCAGTATAATATAATAACAAATAGAAAACTCTTAAGCACTAAATAATTATAAACACAATTCTTGCAATACTATAATTTACAATTTTCAGAGGATAACCTANGGATGGGGCCCACCTACGAAGGCTGTCCAGGCCTACAGGAGATGAGGCAGGATAAAGAGGGATAATCCCCCTCGATCCCAAATCATTGAGGCCAACTTCTAGCCATAGAATAATGGCGTACGTCACTCTTCACCACAGAACATCCCATACAGTTGAGAACAGGGCGACTAGACTTGTAGTCTCCATGGTTGAAAAGTTGAGATGAGAAACCTTAGAGCATAATATACTACATCGACTCATTTAGCTGACTCTGCACAAGTTTCTATCGACAGAACGACACATTACGGACCCGTAGGATGCCCCGACGTCATCGACATTGCCCTCTTAAAAATCTATACCGTTAAATGTCCAAATATCCACCCAATACGAAGCGACTTCCGCCCACAATCTAATAATTCTGGATCTGGGGCGAAGACAGAGATATGAAGGCACCTTCACGAGGAGGTTCATTGACTGGCAGCGCGCGCCACTATTCCATGGCTAGAGATTGGCCTCAATGATTTGGGATCGAGGGGGATAATCCCTCTTTATTCTGCCTCATCTCGTGTAGGCCTGGACAGCCTTCGTAGGTGGGCCTCATCCGTCGTCTACCACGACCGCAAATGCGGCCGATGTAGGCGCTTTGTGGGACCTCCTTTTGTCCTGGCTGGGCCCCGCCGGCTAGGGCCCCAGGACCATTATCCGCTGCAGCGGCTCCAAACTCAAAACACAGAGGCCGTGGCGATAGCGGTGAGATTGTGTGGTATGGTTGGGTAGGGTAGTGCGGCTATGCAGCCTGGGATGCGCTTTGCTAAGGTGGCCCTTAGGCTAGCGCGGGAGGGGAGGGGGCCCCAGACAATTGCCATCGGGGACTTCAACGCGAAGTCCCCCATATGGCACAGCGGGACGACGACCACAAGAGGTCGCGTCCTGCTGAATTACCAAGACAGACACGACGACTTGACTATACTCGGACCGACAGAACCGACACATTACGGACCCGTAGGACGCCCCGACGTTATCGACATTGCCCTCTTAAAATCTATACCGTTAAATGCCCAAATATCCACCCAATACGAAGGGTCTTCCGCCCACAATCCAATATTTCTGGATCTGGGGCGAAGACAGAGATATGAAGGCACCTTCACGAGGAGGTTCACTGACTGGGAGCGTTTCCGAACAGTAATGCAAGGAAACATGGCGCTCCCAGTCATCGAAACCACCCATGATCTGGAGGCGGCAATCCTCTCCCTTGAGACTGACATTAAAAACGCCCTGACTCAGACTACGACGGAGACTATTGTCCCCCGACTGACAAACCCCCGGGGCACCCTCCCCGATGACATAAAAAACTTAATACGTGACAGACGACGTGCG